GGAGTTGCCAAACTAGTTTTCACAGCTGCTGTACCTTTTTACCAGCAACATATAAGGAAGGGTTCAGTTTTCTCTACATCCTCACCAATGCTTATTTTTTCTGTTTTTTAAAGTAAATAGCAATCCTTTCCTCCTCCCCTTCCCCCCAAAAAACAAGAGAGAAAACATAAATAAATAAATAAATAAATAAATAAATAAATAAATCCTAGTGAATAGGAGGAGATATCTTGTATGTCCTTTCTTGGAAGTTTGTCTTAACTCCCTTAGAGTTTAGGAGCTGCTTGACTGTGGGAAAGGAGAGGCAGAGGGGAAGGCATAGGTGTGTTCCTGGGAGAGTTGGAGAGAGCTGGGGCATTTAAGGGATTTTACAGAGAGGAAGAGAGAGGAATAGTTAGAAACATTGATGAGAGAGAAACATCGACCAGCTGCCTCTTGCACACCCCCTACTGGGGATGTGCCAGCAACCAATGTACATGCCCTTGACCGGAATGGAACCTGGGACCTTTCAATCCACAGACAGACGCTCTATCCACTGAGCCAAACCGGTTTCGGTGGTTTTAAGGGATTTTAAAGGCTGGGTGTTTAGGGGAGGATCTTATTCATCAGCATTATGCTGACGCACCAAAATGAGATTTAGTCTCTTACCTTCATCTGTCCTTGGCTGAGGTTACTGGCAAATGGCATTAATTGGATTTCTGTTTTTTCTGGGAGTAGGATGATTTAAGCTATTTACCCTCTGGATGGGGAGGAGAAGTGTAAACTATTTACTTTTAAATGTGCTTGGTTTAGGGAAGAAAGAAAGGGTTGACCAGGTGGCTGCAAACTGCTGTTTAACTATTTGTCTTAGTTTCCTTAGCTTGCCCTTGAATTTTCCTAGCTTCTTGCTGTCCTATAACCGGAGGGGGGCAGGGGGGGGGGGGGAAGGGAAGAGCCAAAAGTTTAAAATCAGGATGGATTCTGAGGAACTGACATATAGCCTTATTCAAATTTATAAGCGCTTTAACAGGAGAAATTTACATATACATGCAAAGCAGCTGCTTGCTCCCAGTGGTGGCCGGCCTAGAGGAAATCTACCTCCTCCCACGACTGGGTCTCTCTCTCTCTCTCTCTCTCTCTCTCTCTCTCTCTCTCTCTCTCTTTTTTATAGCGGGTTGATATCCAAACCATATGGTGGGGGGTCACGTGCACCACCAGCAAAAGCAGAGCATGTCTGAGTCAGCAGATACCCTCAGGCAGCTGTCCCACTGTCTACATGCATTAATATCCTTCCTGGGGCCTGGTGTGGATCGTTGGGTAGTATTCAGCTTGCTGGGTAGTCAGCCAAAGCTGAGGCTGTAGAAAGTTAAACAGTCACAGACGCTTAAACAGAGAGCCCCGAATTTTCTAGACACCTTTACTGCGGGAGCCACGTGAAATCTCTGGAGGGAGTTCCCCTACAGCTCACTATGACAAACAGAACCCAAAGGAGGAGGTTGTTGTGGAATTCCTGTGTTCACTCACGGAGCAGAGGCTGAAGGCCCTCGTTGGGAGTTTTGTAGTCAACGACAGGGGCTTACAGATTGTTTTCTATGTGTTGGGCAGAGTTCTCAGGGCTTTATGTGGATTAACTCATTTAATTCCCAGGTAAAGACTGTTATTCCCTATATCAGTGGAGGACACCCAGTTACAGAACAGTTTTAAAGATTCGTCCAAGTCCCCCGAGCTACGCAAGTGATGGCATTTGGGACACCTGGAAGTGATTTCAGAGCTAGAGCCTCTCCTAGCAACCGCGTGAAAGAAGAGTCGCCGAGGCGAGCACAAACACAGACGAAATTCTAGGGAGACGCAGGGCCAACATTCCTGCGGGCTGAGAAAGAGAGAAAGAAAAAAAAAAAAAATCCATTTCCAAGTGCCTGCCTGCCAACACGTTTTCAACCCGAACTTTCTCATTTCCCGGCCTCCCCGCCCCCCTCGGGAAGATGCCGGAGCCCAGGATGCAGGGGAAAGGTCCTGGGTTTTGGCTCCTCCCTCCCGGTGCATCCGGTCCCGCTCCCGCGGAGCCCGGGCTCCTGTTCACCTACCCCCCCTCCCACCCCCCCGCCGCCGCACTGGAGCCCAGCGCGCAGGCCCGCCAGCCCCAGAGCTCAGTGGGCCTGCCGAGAGTCACCAGCCCGCCAGCTTTGGCCCTAACTATCCTCCACCCCCCCTCTAGGAGGCAGCCTGTGAAACCGCCGGGGCGGGGGCGGGGAGGGGGGGGTGGGCTTGGGTGCTCCTTCCAGGGGCCTCCCAGGACTCAGCTCTGAAATCTGCCATCAGGCGCATTCCGGACCACACGTCTATCGTTTGCGGGGTGGGGAGGGAAGTGCAGAGGCTCCCCGCCCTGCCCCCTCCCTAAGCCTGGACTGGGATGTCTCAGCTCGTTGGTTCAATCTGAAAAGCATCCTTAAAAACTCCCGATGGCCACCATTTTAGGAGAACAAACTGAGGCCCGGGTGCAAAGTGACGTTCATGGGCAGTTAGACACGGACACCAGGGCCAGGCGAGAGTGTTTCACATTTCCTGAAGCATTTGTGAGTCAGGAATTCATTATTCTCAGGATCTGGAATCTTGTTATCTCTAGGAAGTGAAACTCCTGGAACGTCGGCTCTTCAATCCCCCCAATCAGGAGGAAACGGGGGCTTGGGGATGGAGTGGTGGTCTGATGGCCTCCGCTAATGCAGAATCCATCCTCAGATGCCCGCACTCCATCCCGGGCCAGAGGAGGGCTGGATGGGGGGACGTCCGGGGTGTTTTCCACCGGGTTGGTGTGGGGGTAGGGGAAACACTTTCTGATTTCTTCCCAAGTTTCCTGAGGCGGGGAAAGCAGCCGAACACACACGCCTTGTCTCTGCCGACCGCACGGACTCAGAAACGCGGAGCGAGTTTTGTGAAACAGCTCCGACCCCAAGCCCGGGGGCCGCCCCAGACCACCCACCGCACACGCCGGGGGGCGGGGCCGCGGGCGAAGGGGCGGGGCCGCGGACGAGGGGGCGGGGCCGCGACCGCGCCTGCGCGCGTGCGGACGTGCGGGCCCGAGTGCGCACGCGCGGGCCCCGGGGCCGGCGTCGTCTATAAGTGAGCGGTGCGCGCGGCCTTGCCCTGCGACTCGCTGCTGACTGCGCGCTTGCCTCCTGAGGGTCGTCTGAGCCGCCTCTTCGCCCTCCCGTCGGCCGACTTTCCTCCCGACTCCTGCACGGCCTGCTGTGACTGCGAGCCGGCCGCCCCTGGCCCTTCCTCCCGCAGGTGAGCGGCCCTAGGACTTGCCCACCTCCCGCCCCCATCCTCGGCCTGCCTGCTGCCTGCGGGGCCGCCGCCTCCTTCCCCTGCGCTGTGGCAGGGCCTCTGGAGCTTCCCTCCTTAGGCGCCCCCGCCCGCTCCCCACCCAGCCGCTCCAGCCCTGCGCCCCCCAGGAGGGGTCCTCGCTGGGATGCAGGTGGCCCACGTCGGTGCTCGCCGGTGCTGGGCCAGTAGGCGTCCATGCCATGCTCTCCCAAAGCACCGCTGGCACCTCCTGCGCAGCTGCCGTGTTCTTGCCTTTTGCCCCTGGACTGGAAGCCCCAAGAGGGCAGGGTTCACGTCTCCAGGGCCCCGTGTGGCCCTCGCACCTTCCAGGGTGCTTAACAAATTGTGGGTAATCAGCGTATTTTTTTTTTTTTTTTTTTTACTAAGTGAACTTCGACTTAGAATTACTTTGACCTTCAAAAAGTTTTATGATTAACTCGAAAACCTTAAACGATACGAGGGAGACTTCCCAGGCAAGTTGCTTTCTCAAGGGCATGTTCCTCCCCCCCCCCCCCATGTGTTTTTATTGATTTCTTTTAGAGAGGGAAAGGGAAAGGGAGGGAGGGAGAGAGAGAGAGAAATGTCAAAGATCTGTTGCCTCCTGCACACCACCTACTGGGGATTGAGTGGCAACTCGGGCATGTGCCCTGACTGGGAATTGAGTCGGTGACCTCCTGGTTCATGAGTCGACCCTCGACCACTGAGCCACACCTGCCTGGCTAGCACATGCTCTGACAGTCCTGTTGTAGGTCTCAGAAAGGCACCGGTGTCTGACCCGTGGGGTCCGGCCAAACCTGGGATCAACAACCTCGATTCTTGGGTTCTGTCTAAGAAAGAATTCAGAGCCAAGCACCAAACTATAAGAATAATTGATAAATCATAGAGGTAGAAGAAGTAATTCCTAGAAGAAATGAGTTTAGGAAGCGTTATGGAGGTAAAGGAGCGTAGGAGTGAGGAAGCTAGTGGTAACTGCCTGGGGCAGGGAGGGAGAATGGGAAGGGAGAGTGCACTGAGTACTCTCTGCTAAGGGTTTAAGGGTAGAGAACTTAGGGAAGTCCCAGGAGAAGATCACAATAGAATATTCTGTAGTTTTCCAGGTGTGTCTTTTCTGGGCTGTGTCCTCCACTGATTGATTGGCCGGCTTGGGGCAGGGGTGGTTATTCAGTGCAGCTGGTCCTGTCGTGGAGTAGCAGGTTTTGTTCCTTATCTGAGGCATAGATGTTATCTCTGGGGAGGAAAGATCTGGAGGGTTCAAATTTGCTAGAGGAGGAAAAGCCACCCTGAAGGTGAGGTCCCACCCTACAATTGATTGCCTGTTGCTAGGCAACTGGGGCTTTCCACCCCCCTGGACTGTGACACTGAGATTGTGCCTTGCACCTGACAGGAAAATTAAAGGTTTTTACATTCAGAAGTAAAAGTTTTGAGGAATGCTCGTGAAAAGAAACAAGATTGGCTCCTCGGCCATGGATACAGTGTAAATATACTTGAGCTTCTGCTGTGGAAAAACATCATGGGTCCCTGTATCCTGACTGGCTGGGCTTCTCCCTTAGCTCCATGGGAAGATAGAAGAATCAGGGCCAGATGCATGCATATCCCAAAAGGCTCTAGACTAACCTTGCTTCTCTTTCCTCAGGACCCAGAAGTCTTCCAGAAGCAGAAGGCAGCTCTACTGTTCTTCAAAGAGTGGGATCCCTTCAGCTATGAAGCATCTATTGAACCTCTATCTCTTAGGTGTGGCGCTGACCCTGCTTTCCATCTTTGTTAGACTGATGGAGTCCCTGGAAGGCTTACGGGAGAACCCACCACCTGGGAGCTCCTGGACCAACAGAGGTCAACTAGCCATCACAGAATCCCCAAGAGCCTTCCAGAACATCCACCCCGAGGGGTGTGATAAGACCTCCCTCCACCAGCTGTAACCTTGGAGCTCTGGCCTAAACCCGTCCAGCCTTGGTGTCCCAGTTCCTGGGCAGGCAAGCTCAGCATCAGTGTTAGCAGAGAACTGTTACTAGGCCCTGGAAGGGCGCCTCCATCTGGATACTCCTGCCCCAGAAAAAGACTGTTTTATGGGCAGGTGTGAGTGGGTTGCCTATGGTTGTGGAATGGAGTGATTTCACTGTTCTCCCCGGAGTCTTGGATGTCCTTGGCAGCGAGGCTCTGACTTCTCTTCAAAGAGGACTTGTGCTGTAACTTCAGCTGTTGGGAGATGATGGTGTTTTCAGTCCTACTTCTAAACATCTGTGAAGAGTTCCTTTGGACTTGGGTGGCTTGTGGTCAGTTTCTTTAGTGTTCAGCTTCTCTTTCGTGTAAGCTCCTCTGTGTGTGGGTAACAGTTAAAGAGGTGTGAGTTTGGATATAGGGAGGGGAAGATAAGAATGTTCAGTGTCCAGTTCTCACTGTTCTATGTTTTTAAGTCTTCCAACTTAGTGTGTATGTATTGGTCTGAAGGGAACAGTGGGATAAAGCATGCTTGGGACATGGGCATTATAGCCACCATGTGGCTTAAGTGAATTTTTCTAATGAAATAAAATTGAATACATATTTCCACTGTGTGTCATTGATTTCTGCCCTTAAAATTAGTGGTTAGAAAGGGTTAATTCATAGATCGGAGGTTTAACCACTTAAAATTTAGGAGCATGAAAGTACTTAAAACACTTTGTTTAAAACGGGTAAATGAACCTCTGAATTTGGAGGCAGAGGCAGTTGGGTCTGCCCTGTCTGCATCCATTGTTGTCTGAGCTTAAACCAAGACTGTCCTTTCTCTTAAAAACAAAAAGTATATATGTATATATTTTTATGATTTAAGATAGGAAGGGAGATAGAAACATCAATAATAATTATTGATCAACTGCCTCCTACATGCCCCCTACTGGAGATTGAACAACTGGACAGGAATCAACCTGACCTGATTCATAGGTCAACACATAGGTCAAAATATGGCTGTGCTACTCTTGAGAAAAGAAATCTGATACATTCCCACCCCTTCATCTTTAGCCTCGGGAAAAGAGGACTATCAGTCCAGAAGGCCTTGGCCTTTAAATTTTTTTTTTAATTGATTTTAGAGAGAAAGAGACAAACATCGGTTGCCTCCAGCATGACCAGGGATTGAACCCACCTCCTTTCTGTGCACAGAATGACACTGAAACCAACTGAGCCACACTGGCCGGTTGGCTTTTTTTATTTACTGATAATCCACCAGAATGACTACTCAATTCTGATTTTCCAGGTATGCTGGTAAAATAGCCACACCTCACCCTTTGGGTCTGGCTGGGTTGAGCGTCACCTCATGCCACTGGTTTAAATTCCTCGTCAAGGCTCATGTCCGGGTTTTAGGATCCAGGAGACAGCTGATCAGCTGTGTGCTTTTTTAAAAATATATTTTGTCGATTTTTTTCCACAGAGGAATAGCAAGTTAAAAGCATCGATGAGAGGGGAAACATTGATCAGCTGCCTCCTGCAACACCCCCTACTCTGGATGTGCCCTTGTCTCCTTGTCCTCCATCAATGTTTCTATCTCTCCTTCTTCCTCTCTAAATCAAAAAGGTTTTGTTTTGTTTTTTTAATCAAAAAGTTTTTAATAGCCATACCTCACAGATGACTGTTTCTGCTCTTTTTCAGGTCTAAGCAGTTTAGCCTGTTCTACCTATCACTCTTCCATCCCCACCCCATGATGAAGCATATTCACTCCTCTCCTATATCTCAAATTTGTGGGTAGGGTTCCAAATTACCAATAAAGCAAATTACATGAATTTTTTAGTGTATATGAAAGTTATGTTTGCACTATACTATAATCTATCAAGTAATAGTCTTATGTTTAAAAATCAAGATATATTAATTTCAGAGAAGAAGGAAGAGGGAGAAAGAGAAATAATGAGAGAATCATTGATTGGCTGACAGAGGATGGAGCCCACAATTCAGGCATGTGCCCTTGACTGGAATTGAACATGGAACCCTTGAGTCCTCAGGCCGTCACTCTATCCACTGAGCCAAACCAGCTAGGGCAAGGTATATATCTTAATTAAAAAATACTTGAGCCCGGCTAGCATGGCTCAGTGGTTGAACGTCGACCTATGAACCAGGAGGTCATGGTTCCTGGTCAGGGCACATTCTGGATTGTGGGCTCAATCCCCAGCAGGAGGTGGGCAGGAAGCAAGTCAGTGTTGATATTGATGTATTAATGTTTCTATTCCTCTCTCTTTAAAAATACTTTATTGCTAAAAAATGCTAACCATTATCTGAGCCTTTAGTGAGTCAACCTTTTTGTTGATAGAGGATCTTGTCTAGATGTTGATAAAAACATCTGTAAAGAAAAGAAAAAGCTGTGAAGTGCAATAGAATAAGGTATGCACACTCTTATCTTGGTGTGCACATCTATTTACATATGGCGAGTTTGATTTACTTTTGCCAAAAGGTAAAATTGCAGGATGGATAGAAACCAAGATGGCAGCATAGGTAAGCACCTAAACTGCTGCTTCACACAACAATTTCAAAACTACAACTAAAAGACAGAACGGACATCATCCAGAACCATAGGAAAGCTGGCTGAGTGGAAATCCTACAACTAGAAGGAAAGAGAAAAACTCACAGAGAATCAGAGGAGCTGCATGCAAAGGGCTGAGGTACAGAGACACATGCGCCGAGAGGAAGGGCGGTTGAGTGCCTGGCTGGCTTTCTCTGGCGGGAGAGAGAAGGAAGCTCCTGACTGCACTGAACCCCAGTTCTGGCTGAAACCCCGTGGACCCAGGCTCATATGGGGGAGTCTGGACTGTCAGAAATTCAGGGGAGTTTTGAAAGGCAGAAGTCTGGAAGCTTGTGCGCAAGTGTGTGCAGAGAGGACTGACTGCTGAGTGTGCTGCTGTCTTTCTTTAGCTGGAGGGAATCAGAAGCACCCGACTGCACAGAATTCCAGTTCCCGGCTAGAATCTGGGAATCCAGATTCATTGGGGGAGAAATTGGACTGTGGCAGCAGGCAAAACTCAAGGGTGGCTTTCTCTCAGATGTGCTTGCAGCGATTACCGAGAGACACTTGAGACCCAGAGGCCTCATAGGGCAGGGCTGACGGGAAACCAAAACTGTCTGCTCAGCCCTGAGCCTCCACCCCATCCAAGCTGAGCACAGAGGCTTTTGCACTTTTGCAGGTCTGGCCCCATAAGGCTGTCTCTAGCACAGATGTTCTCCCAGCATAGACACAGGTGATCCTCACAGCCAATTGGCCTGGAGGTCAATGATACCAACAACAATCAGGACTTTACTACAACAAGGCTGTGCACACAAAGGGGTGCACCAAGAGTGTCCACCTCAGGTAACTGGAGAGGTTGACCCACTGGGCCATAATAGGATGCCTAGCACACACCCACCAACACAGGGAAGTAGTGGAAATACAGAGACAAAGAAACAGGTCACAACGAAAGAAATGGAGGAAAACAAATGACTGGATGTAGAGTTCAAAACCACCGTTATAAGGTTTTTCAAGAATTTCCTAGAAAAGGCCGAAACCGGTTTGGCTCAGTGGATAGAGCGTCGGCTTGGGGACTGAAGGGTCCCGGGTTCGATTCCGGTCAAGGGCATGTACCGTGGTTGCGGGCACATTCCCAGTAGGAGGTGTGCAAGAGGCAGCTGATCGATGACTCTCTCTCATCGATGTTTCTAACTCTCTATCTCTCTCCCTTCCTCTCTGTTCAAAATCAATAAAATATATTTTTTTTTAAAGAAAGAAAAAGAAAAGGCTGATAAATTTAATGAGACCCTTGAGGATGTGAAAAAGGACCAACTAGAAATTAAACATACACTGACTGAAATAAAAAATATTATACAGAGACCCAACAGCAGACTAGAGGAACATAAGAATCAAGTCAAAGATTTGGAATACATAGAAGCAAAAAACACTCAACCGGAAAAGCAAAAAGAATCCAAAAGGCTGAAGATAGTGTAAGAAGCCTCTGAGACAACTTCAAGCATACCAACATCAGAATTATGGGAGTGCCAGAAGAAAAGAGAGAGCAAGATGCTGAAAACCTATTTCAAGAAATAATGACTGAAAACTTCCACCACCTGGTGAAAGAAATAGACTTACAAGTATAGGAAGCACACAGGACCCCAAACAAAAGGAATCCAAAGAGGACCACACTATGTCACATCATAATTAAAGTGCCAACAGCAAAAGACAAAGAATATTAAAAGCAGCAAGAGAAAAACAGTTACCTATAAGGGAGAACCCATACGATTGTCAGCTGATTTCTCAACAGAAACTATGCAGGCCAGACGGGAGTGGCAAGAAATATTCAAAGTGATGAATAGTGAGAATCTACAACCAAGATTACCCAGCAAAGTTATCATTCAGAATTGAAGTATTCTATGAAATGCTGAAAGGTATTCTTTAAGAGGAAGAAGAAAAAAGTAAAGATAAAAATTATGAATAACAAATATATATCTATCAACAAATGTACCTAAAAATCAAGTGAATTAAAAGTCTGAGGAACAGAATAAACTGATGAATATAACAGATAATTCTCAGGGGGAAAAGGGTATGGGGGGCTGCAGGAAGATATTGGACAAAAATTATGCACTTATGGATGAGGACAGTGGGGGAGTGATAAGGGCAGAGGGTTGGGTGGGAACTGGGTGGAGGGGAGCTATTGGAGGGAAAAGGAGAAACAATTGTAATAATATGAACAATAAAGATTTATTAAGTTTTAAAAAAAAATTGCAGACCCTAAATCCAGAGAGCCAGTGACTTGGATAGAGAGGCTGGTAGTACCCTCAAAGGGATTCACTAAACTTGTGAATCTAGGCCTTGGTTAGGGTAACCATTTTTAGGGCTGTTTGATCCAACATTTTGATGCCTTTTTTCCTTCCCTAATTTGCAGCAAATCCAACCATTCCTCCCTTGGAGGACTTGCCTTTGGGATAAAGTTTTGGTCCATGGGTACAGAGGAATTCACACCTCATGAAATAACCTTGGGCATGACTCCAAGCCCTCAATTGCTCACTAAGCCTTGGCCCACACATGTTAGTGCAATCCAGTCCAGATCAGACCACTGACCCTGTCTGGAAGGAAGGGCTTTTAAAAAAAAAATTGTTTTTGGTAAACAGTATTGTGTAAAATTGCTTTTTTATACCAATAAAAGCATGCTTTGTGCATGAGTAGTATTTGTTTTGATAGTCCTGTTGATGTTAAATTACTGTGTGATATAAACAGTATGTGTAAATTTAATATAACATTATATGCTGTAATAAATTATTTGTTTTACTGCAAAAAAAAAATTTTGCAGCATGATATCTTAGCCAAACCAATTTTGCTCCCTCAGTGTTCTTAAGCTTAAGTGCCACTACCCTATAAGCCAATGGCTTGGGCAACATTTTCTGTACCAAGGTAGTCATTAGTACTGTTTATCAAGTATTGTCAAACCTCATTTCTCTAATGTCTCCTGTCTCAAAAATTCAGTTCTTGACCAAGTTGTTCACAGAAAAAAAAAAAAAAAAAAAAAAAGTCTCAGTTGTAGACCAAAACTTTGACCTGACAGCCCTCTCATACTGATACCTTAACACAACAAAAGCAGTAAACAAAGCAGATAATCCTTTTGTTGCTGGCAGAAATTGAGGATTAGCACAATTTTAAAACAAAGAGGCCATCAAGAGTGCTAATGTTGATAAGGGTATGGAAGTTTTGCTCACAAAACAATTACAGGCAAATGAATAGGTAGGAGAATTTGTTGATTGGATAAATTAAAAGCAGCTGGAACGCAGTGATATATGAAAAATTTGTTTAAGGCCAGTAGGATGTGGTTTGATAAGTTTAAGGGGAAAAAAAATGTTTATAGGTTAAACAGTACATTAGACATGTATATTAAAAAGGTTAAAACTGAGTCATTTGAGAGTCTGGAGAGGATTAATTCAATTTACATTACTTCTAATGGGGAAAAACAATTTGGTTTTCTAACAAATCATTCTCCAAAAGCCAGTGGAAATGAATTAATTTCAAGAACTGAGGTTCCACTGTATTTCCAACTTCCAACTTTCCAGTCCCTGGTCCTTTGCGATCAGCTGGACTTATAAGACTCATCTTTTGGTAGCGTAGTTCATAAACATATAGTTGATATTTTATCTCTGATTTCAGGCATTTTCATGTGCCAGTAGCTGTCCTTTCTAGACATTTTCTTAACTTTGATATATTTTCTCATTCAGATGCTTCTGACTAGATTGAGGTATTTTGAACGGTTAACTGGAGAGTTATACATTAAGTCTCTTCCCCAAGCAGTTTAGTTTAATTGAGATGATTTCCTGGGTGCCACAACCTTACCCAGGCTTTTGCTCTAAAGCTGATTTTCAGCCCTAGCTGGTTTGGCTCAGATAAAGCCTATGAACTGAAGAGTTCCAGGTTCAATTCCAGTCAAGTGCACATGCCCGAGTTGTGGGCTCAGTCCTTAGTAGGGAGCATGCAGGAAGCAGCCAATCAATGATTCTCTCTCATCGTTGATGTTTCTTATCTCTCTCTCCCTCTCTTTCCCTTCCTCTCTAAAATCAATAAAAATATATTTAAAAATAAAATAAATAAAAAAATAGACGAAACTGATTTTCCATCTTTCTCCTCTCATGGTACACGTAAACTAATGACTAAAATTTTGCAACACACACACAAAAAACCCCCACATTGTTTTGCTGACCTGAAAAAAATAGGTATAATTTTTTTTCATTTACACCAGACAGCTATTGTTGTGTTGGCTGCTATCATTTCTTTATTTGACAGTCAAAGGAAAAAGATCAATGCCCCTGACAAAATAAGTACTGCATGTTTTAAAAATCCTTGGTAGTATACCAGTGTGCCAAAGCACATCCATTGAAAATTGCTGCTCTTAAATAATCTGCTCAGAGGTTTCAACAACAGATGTGATGGCCATGCCATTGTTCTATCTAATCTTTCCTACAAGTAGTTGTCCCTGTTTGCCTAGCCAGGGGAATTTTCTGGGAGGCAGGACTTGTCCTAAAACAGGGACACTTCTGGGCAAACCAGGACAGTTACTCTACCCACAAAATTGAGTTTGCATTGATGTTTGTCATCCCAAACATTCCTGAATTTTATCTATTAACAATTAGGGATGAGAAGCAGTGGCTTCTGTGAATCCTGCAAGCTCACTGATTTTCTGTAGTCTCTCTAGATCCCTTGTGCCTGCTTGCAAGTTCACCAGTTTTTCTCTCGATTCATCTTGTGGTGCTTTGTCAATAGCAGCTAACAGATTCTCTTGTTTTGTTTTTGTTAATCCTCACAGGAGGATATTTTCCCCATTGATTTTTAGAAAGAGTGGAAGAGAAGGAGTGCGACAGAGAGAGAAACATTAACATGTGAGAGATACATTGACTAGTTGCCTCCCAAGCACACACCCCAACCAGTGCTGGGAATCGAGTCTGCAACCAAGGTACGTGCCCTTGATCAGAATCGAAGCCAAGTCCCCTCAATGTTTGGGTGGATGCTCTAACCACTGAGAACCGGCTAGGGTCAGTATTCAAGCTGCTAAAATTTGTTCTCCTAACTGTAGATAAATTAGATTAATGTATGTCTTGTAAGTTACTGCAGGCAACAGTTTTACCAAATACTCTGCTACTGGGTAAGATGGGTTGCCATCCTTCCAATAAGATCTCTTTGCTGAAACCGGTTTGGCTCAGTAGATAGAGCGTCCGCCTGTGGACTGAAAGGTCCCAGGTTCGATTCCGGTCAGGGAATGTACCTTGGTTGTGGACACATTCCCAGTGAGGGTGTGTGCAGGAGGCAGCTGGTCGATGTTTCTCATCGATGTTTCTCATCGATGTTACTGACTTTCTGTCCCTCTCTCTTCCTCTCTGTGAAAAAAAAAAAAATCAATAAAATAAATAAATAAATAAATAATCTCTTTGCTGCCTTCCAGATAAGTTAAAGTTGCACATATTAGTTTTGTGGTGTGTGTGTGTGGTGTGTGTGTGTGTGTGTGTGTGTGTGTGTGTGTTTTAATTTTATTTTATATTTTATTGATTTTTTACAGAGAGGAAGGGAGAGGGATAGACGATTAGAAACATCAACCAGCTGCCTCCTGCACACCCCCTACCAGGGACGTGCCCGCAGCCAAGATACATGCCCTTGACCGGAATCGAAACTGGGACCCTTCAGTCCACAGACCATGATGCTCTATCCATTGAGCCAAAAGTGTTTCGGCTGTTTTGTTTTGTTTTTAATTTTTATTGCAACACTCAGTCAAGGACGCACTAGCATAGGTTAGTCAAGGACGCACTAGCATAGGTTAGGCTGCAGCAACAACCCTAAATCTCAGTAGCTTAAAACAACAGTTGCCCAAGGATGCACTCCCATGAAGCAGAATGGGGCCCTCATCAAGGAATGCCCTTCGCCTTCACTACATCTGCTCAAGGGAACAGCATATTCCGATATTCCTAAGTATGAATTTTAAATCTCTACTGATTATTAATGTGAGGCCTTAACTCTGGTGCCGCCTTTTCATTTTACTACAGAGGCAACAGAAGGAAACTCAGCGACTTAGACAATATCACTGAACTAATTGGTGGTCCATCGCCAACATGCAGCCTTTTTTTCAACATCATGATTTCTTTTTCATGGACTCTTCAAAATGCAACATAACAAAATACATCCATAATGAGCTTTCCTACCCCTGAGGTATTCTTACACGGGCACAAGCACGAGCAAGTTGTGAGAAGCTTTCCTGTGATGGGGAAGATTGAAGGCCTTCCTTGGCTCACTGCTGTCTTGGCCTATCCTTAGGAGACTCATTGTCCTCATGTTTTGGGGGAGATTGAGTGAAAAATGGAATAGGCTTCATTACCACTAGTTTGTATTGAGTAAGAAAAGGGAGAGAAAAGCCTTGCTCCTCCCTAATTTGTTCTTTCCTCTTTTTTTTCCTTTCCTGTTGTTGCCACCACATTCCTGATGTCACTCCTGCCATTGTGAGCTGGCAGGCCGGCCCTTCCTGGTCAGGAGGACAGCCTGCCAGTCAGGAGGAGAGGAGGAGCTGTGGAGGTGGGGGGCAGGAAGCAGTGGTCACACAACACCTTGCAGTCGGGCTGGAGGTGTGGAGCCCCGGGATGTTCCCCAGCCCATTCTTCCCAAGAGTCAATGCATAAAATCAGGGGCCTCCCTGCTGAGGTCAGGGAACCAGGCCCTGGAGTGGAACTTGGGGTGGAAGATGGCCTTCTTTGTCAACTGATTCATTCTCCAGAATTCAACTTGTTCTCACACTCTGCGGTGTTTGAAAGCAACTTTATCCAGGTACCCATGGGCAGCTCAGGCTAGCTCTTTCCCGTTCCAAATCCTGTTTCCAAAACTCGGTCCAGAAATGCTGTGGCCTTAAAAGCCCTGGGGAGGAGAAAGAAGCCATTCCAACTATTGCTACCCCAGGATCTGGGTCTCAAGTTCACCTGTTTGTGCCTGTAGCAGTATGGGGTTTTTCCTCACTCTCCTCCCCTTCTGGAACTTTCTTTGCACAATCTTTCTTCCAGACCATTAGAGACCTGTGCTGACTTCTTCTACCCAAAGATGGCAGAATGTAATTTTGGTTCCCCTCAGCTTTTTCTTACTAGTGCATCCTTTCTAAAGTCAGATGATGCAGAGGATACGAAAAAGGACAACACAGTGTTCCTATTGTCAAGGAGCTTGTCTATTTGGGGAGATCCACCAAAAAGGTGATGCCCCGCTCAGTGTGGCATGTTCCAAGCTTGTCACTACGTTGAAGTGCTGCTTTCTTTATCTTTTCTGTTTTTTTTTTTTTTTTTTTTAAATTTTTTTATTGTTTCAGACAGAAGGAAAGAGTGATAGAAACATCAAAGATGAGAGAGAATCATTAATCAGCTGCCTCCTGCACGCTCCCTAATGGGAATCAAGCTCCCAATCTGGGTATGTGCCCTGACTGGGATCAAACCCTGACTTTCTGGTTTATGGATTAATGCTCAACCACTGATCACACTAGCCATGGGCATTTTAAAATATATATATATATATATATTTTATTTTATAAATATATATATTTTATATATATATTTTATCTCTTCCTTTCACAGAGAGGAAGAGAGAGGGATAGAGAGTTAGAAACATCGATGAGAAAGAATCATCGACTAGCTGTCTCTTGCACACCCCCTACTGGGGATGTGCCCGCAACCAAAGTATATGCCGTTGCCCGGAATCGAACCCACGACCTTTCAGTCTGCAGGCCAACACTCTATCCACTGAGCCAAACCGGTCCCGGCCATTTTTTTTTTTTTAAGTGCTACTTTCTAGCATCTGTATCCTTCCACTCTTGTCTTCTGCTTCTCTGACCCAAGGACCTGGGCTGATTTCTAGGTCACTAAGTCCGGGCACTGGATGAATGTCTCTGAAGGTTCAACCACCACCGTGATCCTTGGGGTAACGTCCTCAGTGCCCTCCTTGCCACTCCCCAACATCCTCCTGATGGCCAATGTCACCTGGCCCCATGATCAGTTTTCCACCTGCAACACACCTGGCTGTGCTCCTGTCATCACCCTCAGCAGGTAAGGAAGGCCTCAGGGAGGGACCAGAGAGGGTGGGTTGACAGACTGCAATTGGGCTTTAGATAAAAAGAAAAGACAGCCCTAACCTGTTTGGCTCAGTGGATAGAGCATCGGCCTGCGGACTGAAGGGTCCCAGGTTTGATTCTGGTCAATAGCATGTGCCTTGGTTGTGGCCACATGCCCAGTAGGGAATGTGTAGGATGCAGCTGTTTGACGTTTCTCTCTGATTGATGTTTCTAATTCTCTATCCATCTCCCTTTCTCTCACTAAAAAATCAACAAAACATTTTTTTAAAAAAAAGAAAGGACAGTGTTCCTTAGTGTATACACTGTACAGAACCCCATTCATTCATTTAACAGGTATTATTTCATATCTATACAGAACAAGCATTGTGTTTGGTGCTTTGGGTAGAGTATCAGTCTGTCTCAGCCTAGTTTTTGAGGATTTTGGCTTTCATTTTTATTTTGTCAATAAAACCTTGGGAGGGTTTTTTAAAAAGTGAGGTGTGTGAAAGCCAAATGGGATTAAGAGGTGTTGAGATTGAAAAAATAATCCTAGTTGTATAGGAGACATCTATCCTTCTTACTCTTTCAACAGTTAATCAGATACAGGGCAAAGGAGACTTGGAAATGGAGTCAGAATATCTTAGTCCCAGTTCCTACTTAAGATCTAAGTGGAAAAAAGTTAAATAAATATATTTAAAAAAAATAAACTTGGGTACCCCTGGGCAGGTGCATTTGGTTACAACATCATCCTGATATCCCAAGGTTGCAAGTTTGATTCCCAGTCAGGGCACATATAAGAAGCAACCAATTGCCCTGGCTGATAATGGCTCAGAAGCTAGAGTGAAGAGGGTCTTGATTTGAATCTCTCAGTTGCATGTGAGGGAGGCAACCACTCAATGTGTCTCTCTCACATCAGTGTTTCTCTTTCCTTTCCTTCCACTCTTTCTGGAAATCAATGAAAAAAATATCCTCTGGTGAGGATTAACAACAACAACAAAAAACAACCAATTCCATGCATAAATAAGTCGAACAACAAACTGATGTTTCTCCTTTCCTCTCTCTCTCTCTGAAAATCAATAAATTAAAAAAAAAATCTAAATATCTTGGGCAAATTACTTAAGGTAGTTTTTTTCTCTAAGTCTCAGTTTCAAGAAATCTGTAAAATGGAATTAATAATACTTATCTTTTCTTAATCAAGAGTTGTCAGGATTAAAAGAGATAGTCTACATCAATTATCAGTCATTGTTATTAATGTGGGCAGATTCTTTAATAACTAAGACCCTGGACATCAGAGAAGAGCTAGGCTTTATAATCATTCCACTATCATCCACTAGCCCTCTCCCCTGTGCATTCCCCAAGCAGAGGTGGGAGCCCAGTGAGGCTGAGCCACGCTCCCAGTAGGTACCAGCCTGACTGATTCAAATCCTGGGCTCATGGCAATTTCTTAATTGTGTCCAGAATTCTCCCCCTGAAGTTTGTGGAGCTACAAATCTGTGACCGGCTCCAACGCATCCTGCGGATTAGGACAGTGACTGAAAAGATCTACTACATGAAGCTCCACGAGAAACACCCGGAGACTGTGTTTCAGTTCTGGATCCGCTTGGTGAAGATTCTGCAGAAAGGTCTGTCCACCACCACCAAAGACCCAAGAATCCAGTTCACTCACTGCCTGGTGCCCAAGATGCCCTGCAGCTCCACTGAAACAACAGTGAGTGGGGCCCTGCCACCAAGATCTCTAGGGAGGGAAAGAGGGTGGGGCATACTGCCTCCCATTGTGAGGGTTGAATATTGAAGTCTAGTGTCCTGGGGGAATGAGAAGACCATTTTCAAGGGTCAGTAATATGCACACACCAATTACAGCACATTAATTTAGTTTTTCTAAAAAAGAGGTATAAGGTACTTAACTCAAAAGTGTCTTCCTTTTTTTGCTCATTTTTTTTCCAGCATCATAAGGAAATAATGCTTACTTTAGAAAATTACAAAAAATTCGTTCACATTTTTCTTCAGCCCCAATCACTTGGAACATTTGGCATATTTTCTTTTAGTCTTTCATTTTATCTTATTTTTAAAAAATATATATTTTATTGATTTTTTACAGAGAGGAAGAGAGAGGGATAGAAAGTTAGAAACATCGATGAGAAAGAAACATTGATCAGCCGCCTCCTGCACACCCCCACTGGGGATGTGCCTGAAACCAAGGTACATGCCCTTGATTGGAATCGAACCCAGGACCCTTCAGTCCACAGGCCTATGCTCTATCCACTGAACCAAACCAGCTAGGGCAATACATATATCTTAAAAGCTCTTCTTATACATCATATCATTTTGATAATTTTATACTCTTCAGTTGTATGAACGAATTAAAATTTACTTCATCCCCCTAAAATCAGATATTAATTTGCTTATGTATTTATTTTAAAATACACTTTTAATAATATTAGACAAGGGAGAGAGTGAGAGAGATAGAAACCTGATGAGAGAGAAACATTGATTGACAGCCTCCAGCACACCTCCTACTGGGGATCAAGCCTGCAACCGGGGCATGTGCCCTGACCTGGAATTGAACCAGTGACCTCCTGGTTCCTGAGCCACTGAACCACTTGGACTGGGCTAAAATTTGATATTTAGAGTTGTTTCTAACTTTTCATCAGGGGTGGAGAAACTTCTTTCTGCGAAGGGCCATTGTATATTTATAGCATCATTCGAGGGCCATACAAAATTATCACCTTAAACATTAGCCTGCTATATTTGGTCAAACATTTAATTAATTCACCCCTAATGCCTTGTCAGGATGAGATCAAATGATTTCAAGGGCCTTAAATGGCTCATGGGTCATACATTCCCTACCCCTGTAGGAGGGTAACACAAGCATTTATAGGTACTAGTGTTGTCCACAGCTTTTATTGTTTACTCAGAATAGATTTTTAGAAGTAAAATTCAAGGGGTGGGAAGGAGAGGGGAGAGGTCAATGGGGGAAAAAGGATTAATATGTAATACTTTAAACAATAAAGAATCTAAAAGATGATAAAAAGAAGTCGAAGTCAAAGGGTATGAACACTATTAAGGTTTTTGATACATACTGCCAGATTATTTCTAGAAAGTTCATACTAAATTATACTCTCACCGATAATATAAGAGTTCTGTATCACTGTGTTCTTATCACACTTGAGCATTAAAAAGTAAAAACGTTTTCTAATAATTATAGGTTAAAAAAGAAGCATGTGTTCAAGTTTGATGAGTTTGAACATGATTATATTTTTTTCTTTATGCACAACCTGGTTTGTTCTTTGGCCATTTTCCTATTGGCATCCTTGTGCTTGTCTAAATTGATTTGTAAAATAAAGCTTTTTATACATCAAGAATTCTAACCCTTAAATCACAAGTTTTTGCAGTATTTCCCCCAAGAATTTGCTTTTCCCTTTTATATAGTTTATTTAAGGCTCCTGCCCCCAACACACAGAAGGCTTTCTCAGGACCTGCTTCAGGTAAAACCCTGGAAAAAAAAAGACTTGATAGATTGGGTAGCCTCAAACCTTCAGATTTCAGGCTCCTATACACTTTCCTCCTTTCATTTAAGTTGTGTGCTTTAGGTACTCCATCACTGACTTCAAAATCAGCTTTTATAATTCTACTGCTCTGGTTCCTAACGGTGAGATCTGGTGCTCAGGGCAGAGTCGCCACAGCAGCTCCTCAGAGAGAGGGCCTCATTGTTTTTGTCTGGTGATTCTGGGGCTTAATATTGAAGTTCCCAGGACTAGGCTGGAAGACTCTTGAGAGTTCCTTCCAGGTTCTGGCCGGAGGAGGCCAAGAACCTTGAGGGAGACCTGATCCTATAACTGTCAATTTCTCCATCCAGCCTGAAAGCAGCCTCCTGCCATCCTCCCAGGCCAGCGAAAACTCCTTGCTGTGGAAAGCCGAGCAGACTAGCGACATTTTCTCACATTTCCCAGGAAGAGACCATCTCACAGAAGACAGGTGGGTCCTCCATGCCAGCACCCCTTCCCACAGCACAGAGCCATGGGCGGGGTCAGTGACACCTGCCAATCTATCGCTGCCCTTTTATTTTTCCTCCAGACAGTTATGTGTGCGACTCTCCCCTTAATGTTATTGTAAGCCTGTCCTTGAAAACCGGGTCTGTGGCTGATTGATCTGAATAGTCTAGGCAAACCCCAGTGTTTTCTTTTTTAAATATTTTTTATTGATTTCAGAGAGGAAAGGAAAGGGAGAGAGGGATAGAAAAATCAACGAAGAGAATCATTAGTGGGCTGCCTCCTGCACGCCTCTTACTGGGGATTGAGCCCGCAACCTGAGCATATGCCCTTGATGGGAATCGAACCCAGGACCCTTCAGTCCATAGGCTGATGCTTTATCCACTAAGCAAAACTGGCTAGGGCAAAACCCAGTGTTTTCATGTGGAAGGTGCTCAGTAGAAGAATGAGGGTAAGCTAAAAAAGCAGGCTAATGGAGTTAGATATTGACTGTCTACATTTCCAACTTGCGAGGGTCCCTTGGATAAGACAATCCTGAGTTCTCTTTGCCTTATCTATCTCTTCTGTGAAGTAGAGACAGTAACCCAATGGGGAGACCACTGCTGACTCCAGTTTCACTAATTTACTAAGATTCTGTAATGAGTGATAGAAACCCAAAGCAAGACCCCGCAGCCAATGTGTTGAACAAGTTCAACTTTTGAGTATCATCGAAATACAAATTTATTTTTGTCTTCCTTTATACGTTTTTATTTTATTTTTTTTGAGGTGTAATTTTATTTTTTTATTTAATATATTTTTTATTAAATTATTATTTTTGTACATATACCAATGCCCCCCCCCCGTACATACCCTCCCTCCCCAGGGTTTTGTGTCCATTGGTTGTACTTATATGCATGTATACAAGTCCTTCGGTTGATCTTATCGCCCCGCTTTATATGTTTTTAGTGGGAGAAATTTTCCTCTTTCCCGAGTAGACACTGGTTCCCTGGGCAGGCCCCATAGCATGTGGAGTCCCTCTTAGAATATGAAAGGGTCTTTGTTCCCTTTAAATAGTATAAGCAACATGGATTCTGAAATTAAAAAGTCCAGTGCTTAAAACCTATAAAACTCTGAACCGATCACATCTCCCTTCCCTCAGCCTGGTCCCTGGTAAGATGACTCTTCAGAGTCACTCCTCTTCTCCTTCTGTTTCGTAATTTTAAGTTGGACTTTTTCTCTTTGGCACTTTCTTGGTTTTTTTGAAGTCCCCTACCTGGCTCCCCTGCCTGCAACTCTGGTGATGCTGTGAGACCTCCCTTTCGCCTGGCCACCACCCTGCTCTGGCACTAGCTCTGCAGGGGTCCATGCTACCCAGGCACTAGCTGTCAGAGTCTCTCATCCCTTAAGGGTTTGAGTAGGGTTTACAATGACTCCAGGCTGGTGTTCTCTCTCCCATCTCCCACCCTCCATGTTTTGTGCCCCATCTCTACTGGGTCTCCCAGCCCCCAAAGGATCACAGCAGAAGCTCTCTGGGTGGTCCCAGGAAGTCCCTTTCTTTCACCTTGAGGAGCAAGAGGCAAATACAAAGGATTTTCTCTGAATGCTTTCCTGACTCACTCTGGGTGTAGTGGAGGCCACACTCACTCAATTCTCCCAGGTCACAGTCTGCCTTTATCCGTACTTTCCACACCTTCTTCTTTTTTTCTTTCTAATTTCAAGATGGTTTTCTTTAATTGCAAACTTTTCTTCTTTGAGTACTCTTATTTGTGTGTTGGATTATCTTTGAGATATATATATCCCCTTTCTTTTTTATTTCTTTTTTTTATTCTTTAAACTTCTCCCTATCCCTCTATTTCTCTTAAGGCATTATGTGCTTTGCTTGTTTGCTCTTATGTTCTTTTATACGTTTTCTCTCTTAGCCAACACTAGCACGGCTAGAGAATGGACGAATCCTGAGTAGGGACAGCTGGGGATTGAAAAAAGAGAAAAAAAGAGACAGACACTAAGACTTTAAGTAAAACTGAGACCAGGTGGGGTGCTGCCCTCAGATGGAGAGACAGTGACCCAGAGCTAACTCAGCATGTTTATTATATACGGCGTGATACCAGGAAGTTTTACTAGCATTTAAGACAAAGGAAATTATGTGAAATCATGGTTAAAGATCAAGCTGCAATTCTTCATTCTTGTGGCTTCTTTGTAATTGTCACTCCAGGCTGAGGCCGGACAGCTGTGTCAGTTCCTGGTTGAACCCATTCCCTGGTGTCTGAGCTGAAGGTCAAGCTGACAACATACCTGCCTCTGGCAAGGTATGTATCCAGGACATGGCTCTTTCAACACCACCAGAGGCAGCTGGTAATCAGCTCGTGCACCTTCCCAGGCGCTATCTACATTCTTTCTTGCTTTGTTTTGGAAATAATGGTTGTTTCTTTTAAAATGTCTAATTGTTTTCTCATTTTATCACCACATTTATCAATATTTTAAATTTTAACTTATGTTCTTTTATATATTCTAACATTTTCTTAATTTATTTTAGCTTATTTTCAAATGCTAGATTGCAGTTTGTATTCATTTTACACTACATCTTTTTTTTTTTTTTTTTTTTTTGGTGTGTGTGGGGTGGGTGTTAAACCTCATTGGACCCATGACTTTATTTTATGTATTTATTTATTTTTAAAGAAGGCAAAAATTATTTTATTAATAAAATATACAATTCAAAATTGACATTATAGTCATACTCAAATAATAGTTTCAGGAAAAAATTATGCAAAAATGTAAAAATACAAGAAAACAATACTATTGTATCAAACACATTTAACACATTGCACATAATTTCGGATCAATTGATTTTAGCGAGAGAGGGAGAGACATAAACATCCATGTGAAAGAGACACAGTGATTGGTTGCCTCCTGCACATGCCCCAATCAGAACCTGGGATCGAGCCTGCAACTGTGGTATATGCCCTTGACTGGAACTGAACCCAGGACCCTTCCGTCCAAGGGCCTATGCACTGAGCAACTGGCTAAGACGTGCAGCACACCTTTTTAGTGTGCTTTTATTGTCTTCAAGGACTTATTATATTTTGCATCTTTTCTTATATGACTTTGTGTGGGTTTTGATTATGATCCTTTTTTGATGCAACTTATTTTTATGTGAAATGGTTTTTCTCAACCTTTGAGAATGACAGATGGGCCAGGGTGGCTTTTGGCTCCAATGCTTCCTCTTGTGTCATTTTTGTGGAGCATTAATGACCTTCGGGGACTATGTTCCTCCTCTCTCTTATCTTTAGCTGACCTTGCTCTTTCCTTTGGATCTATTGTTCCTGTCCTATTCCACTGTATTCCATTTCCATTGGTTTTCCCCTACGCTGAGGCTGTGCCGTGCCAGGGAGAGTATTCTGACGTTCTGAGAGTTGGTAAGGCACATCCTGCTTCTGCTCCTTGAGACTGACTTTACCATGGAAGGGCCCCAGTTTCTACTTCCAGTTTTCTTCTTCTCTAATTTGCCTGCTGCACTTTCCACTGAGAATCTGGGGAGATTTTAAAGTCCATCAGATGCCTCCTGCCTCTCTGCTTCCTCACACACAGACCTCGAAGTCATGTGGGTCTTGGAGCTCTCCGTAGCTGTCATTTTCTTCATGAGTTTATCTCAAACAGGCCATTATCTGTGGGACTCATATTGCTGAATTGGGAAGTGGGGGAGAACCATTGTAAGTTTGCTTCTGCCAGGTAGCTCACAGATATTACTGGCTCGGGAGACATTTTTTGTATTAGTTTCTCAGCTTGAGAGTGGTTGGGCCATGTGTCAGACTGCAAACCAGCACAAAGACAGGCCCAAAGATATGAACTTTCAGAAGAGGCTTTTTTTGGACCCAGAATCCAGATTGATATAGACAAGTTTATGGCACTGGATGGGTTTCTTCCTGGTGTGCCCTTTTGAGAGAAGGTGCTATGTAAGTCCCGGATTTATGCAGATATCTCAGTAACTCCCCACGTGGCGAGGGCCCACGATTTCGCTCCTGTGTCATCACGCCTTGGTTACTAAGTCTGGCAAGCCTCTCGGGCAGCCCTAGCTTCAGCTCACATTTGGCTAGTCTATCATTTTTGTCCCTTAGGATTTTTTAAAAAACTTTTTTGTGGGTTCAACAATGCATTTAAAATTATGTTAACTATATTTTATCTACATTTCTAGGTGTTTTGTGGCAAACAGGTGTTTTTTGTTTGTTTGTTTGTTTTTTAGATTCAACCACATTGCCAGTCTCGAGTGAAATAACTCTAAAATTATTTTCACTTAAAAAAACAAAACCTCGCTGCATTTATCTCCGAATAGTTGCAGAGTGGGGGATTTTTATTTTGTTTTGGTGTTTTATTATAGTTTTATTTTTTTCACTTAATGTAAGTATGTATTACCCTTGGAATAAAAATTTTACAAAATTTTAACCACACTGTGTGTTGTTCTAGCCACAGCCTCTGGGAACAAGAGAATCCAGAGTTCTTACCACGGGCTCCTGTAGCCAGTTCTCTAAGTGGTTGTGATTTAAAATATATATATATATATATATATATATATATATATATATATATATATATATATATATATATATATGTTGATTTCAGAGAGGAAGGGAGAGGGAGAGATAGATAAAAACATCCATGATGAGAGAGAATCATTAACCAGCTGCCTCCTGCACGCCCCACACTAAGAATAGAGCCTGCAACCTGGCCATGTAGCCTGACTGGGAATCAAACCGTGACCTCCTGGTCCACAGGTCGATACCACTGAGCCACACCAGCCGGCCCGTTGTGGTTGTTTTTTAAGTCGTCAATGTTTTGGAGAACTGTCTGAAGGTTTCCTTTGCACTCATGCTGACTCCAGGCAGGTTGCAGTGGGCTCCGGTTTTGCCTTTGAACCATAACACATTTGGTTCTCAACACATCAAAGCAGTGCCAAAGGCTTGGAGGGGCGTCGGTTCCACTTCAGCAGAGCAGCCTTAGCTCCAGCCCCCCTCCTGCTTGGCTTTCTCCACTCAAGCCATTCTTAGATACATCATCCCCCATCTGTACGTGTTTTCACTGCCCATCATTTCCATAGTCACGTCCGTGTTCAAGCCACTCAGGCTGGAAAGACATAATTAAAAAGCAGTTTTCATACTGAAAATGTTAACCATGTTTTCTTTTTCTTCTGTTGTTTGCAAGGACCCCAACATTCCTGGGTTCCCGCAGAACACAGGCCGCTCCAATCAAGGATTCTGAGAGCCACAGCAGGACATCTTTGCCGGCGGCATCGTCAGCCGGTTTGCATGTTCCTATGAGAGCCGTGATGGGCCACAGCCTCTGGGAACAAGAGAATCCAGAGTTCTTACCACGGGCTCCTGTAGCCAGTTCTCTAGGAGAGAACCTACTGGGACCCTGACACCTACCCACATGGGGCGATCTTCCATCATGCTGTTTTCCCACTGTGGGCCACGTGACCATGGGAGAATAAGATGTGGTCTAAAACAAGGTGCTTCTGTACTTCCACCAATAAACCTCCAAGTGGACCCCGAATTGTTGTATGTTGTGCTATGGCCGAGGCGGGGTGCAGGGGGAGGGCCGTGGTGGGGGGGGGGAGGTGTGGGGTTTGCAGGGAAGGACTGATTGGGAGCAGGAGCTCACTCCACGGGAAAATAAGTGGGGGAAAGTTCTTCAGTTAAAATCCCCAAGCAGCCGAGCAGAGTCAAAGAAGCCAGTCCAGAGGAAATGGCCAGGCCAGATACCCAACTTCCTCTTTCAGAGGGAGAGGGGACAGCTGGCAGGGCTGCTCCAGGTCCAAAGTGAAAGGAATGCTCAGCCCCGGCCCGTGGTCCTAAGAGGTTAGGGCATCCGAGGGTCGCAGGGGTTTGGTTTGGTTTTAATCCTCACACGAGGATATTTTCCCATTGATTTTAGAGAGAGTGGAAGAGAGAGACAGAGAGAAATAGCCGTATGAGAGAAATACATCGATTCCATGTCTCCTGCATGCACCCTCACCGGGCCGGGGTGGAGCTTGCAACTGAGGTATGTGCCCTTGATTTGAATCAAACACAGGACCCTCTGGTCCATAGTCAGACACTCTACCCACTGAGCCAAACAGGCTTGGGCAATTGCAGGTTTGATTCCTGATCAAGGGCGTGTACCTGGGTTTCAGGTTTGTTCCCTGCTCCCCTGTCGGGCGCATACGGTAAGCAACCAATGTCTCTCTCTCACATTGATGTTTTTCTCTCTTCCCTCTCTCCCTTCCACTCTGTTTGAAAAACAGTGGGAAAATTATCCTCAGGTGAGGATTAACAAAAACAAGAAAGAAAGGAAAGAAATCCTCAGAATGATGGCGGCCAACAGGGAAATACCTTTGTGTCGCTCCACTCACGTAAGCAAGAAACCTAGTCTGTCCTGCCCCGCTGTAAAGTTATTGAAGGCTTACCCAGGCCATGCACACTTTGGTTGCTAATGAAGACATGGCTTCAGGTAAGGAAGATGGTGACCACCCATCTCTGAGAGTCCTAATTGGTGGGACTCTTCCACCCGGGACCTAATAGAAGCAAACTGGAAAGCACAGTGTGTGTGCACAGCAGGGATAGGCCAACCTCCAGGCAAATGGGGAATATTTACCTGAAAAATACAATCACAGCATTGAGTAAGCATTCACAAAGTTCCTACTAGGTACCAGACACTGCACTTGATGCCTGGTAGATTAGAGAGAACGAGACAGGTGGGCAAGTTTCCTGCCTTGAGGGAGTGTATGGGAGAGGCACCACGCTCTAGTGCAGAGACACAGGAAGGCCATTAAGGTTGACAGGAAGGTTGAGCCATTCGGCCTGCAAATCCAGGTGGACCTCCTCTGCTGTGCTTCACACTCCAGGCCAGAGAGTGATGGAGGGAGAAGGAACATGACTGCCCTCCCTCTGTGCATCCTCAGTTGGGCTGAGTAGTAAATCCTGGCTAGACTGGGTCAGAAAAGCACCGGAGCTGAGGGAATGCGTGTGGGTTTCTTCCTGCCTCTAATAAAAATAAAAACAAAACAAAACAAATGTTTTGCATGTTACAATCAAATAAGCTGAGCATTGTTGGTGCTGGTGAGAGACATCCAGAAGCTGAACTTAGAAGAGGCTAATGGTTCGGGGGGGGGGGGGGGGGGAGGGCTGGCCAGTGACATGTCCAGACAGGAGGTCAGAGGGGGAGGGAAAATGAGGCCCAGACAATTATCCCCTCCCTCGTAGTCACGTGAGGCTGGCTATGTCTCTTAACAGAAGAAAATGGCTCCTCTTGAGTCAACTCTCTCTTTCCTAGTTCCACTAACCATCCCCTCCTGCTGCCCTTCAGGGCCCTATCCTGCATCTTGGGGATACCAAGGGAGTTACTAATAACCTTTCGGTACCACAGGTCATAAGGGGTCTCATCTTCAGTAAGGATTCTGCTAGGTCACTTTAGCCAGAATCCCCCTTAACCTCATGTTTCCTCTTAGTCATATTCCATCCACTGTCTCTCTCCTCCATCCCCACCCCCTAGTCCCACTTGGCTTTTTAGCTAGAAATTCCCACTTGTCCAAGCTGTGATTGAAGTTGAGCCCAGTCTCCCTCCCTTGGTGCAAAGTTTCACCACCCCTTTATCTATGGTGACAATAAAGTCTTCCTTACTGTGCTTAAAAAAAATCCATAACGGGTCAATCTTGAGAAATCCAAGACCATGGTTTCAAAAGAAGAAAACAACCACAGGGGGTGGTAAAGCTTCATAAAGTGAGCATTGAAAATGGACACTTAGAAACATTAATGTTAAGGCCATTTACAGAAGATACAACTTAAAACAACCAGACTTACTAGTAAAATAATCTAGGGACATTTGAGAGAGGGCAATTCTGGTTTTTGCTCTACCTCTGATTCCTGCCTGACTTAGGATAAATCAATTAATTTCCCCTTTGGAGATATGGATTTTAAATTAAAACATCATTTAAGCCCTAGCATTGGCCTATGAACTGAAGGGTCCCGGGTTCAATTTCAGTTAAGGGGGCATGCCCAGGTTGTGGGCTCATTCCCAGTAGGGGCATGCAAGAGGCAGCTGAACAATGATTCTGTCTCATCATTGATGTTTCTATCTCTCCCTCTCCTTTCCTCTCTGAAATCAATAAAAATATATATATTTTTAAAAATCACTTAAAATTTAAGTATCCCCAAACAAAACACTGCTTTTGAAGGTTAATTGTTGCAATCATAACTGCATCCCTCCCCTTACTGCCATTAAAGGGCCATAACTAGATGCAAGACGAATGTGGCCTCTGGTAGTAATGGATTGGCACACACACATACTCAGGCCATGCCATTTGTAAATGCTTTGCATTTTTTTAAAATAAGTTTTTATTGTTCATATTATTACAAATGTTCCTTCCCCCCCCCCCCCCATCATTGCTCTCCTCCACCAGGTTCCCACCCCACCCTCCGCCCCCTCCCCACTCCCCATTGTCCCCATCCATAGGTGCACAGTCTATGTTCAGTCTCTTCCCACATCCCCCTCTCCCCTTTTCCCCGAGAATCGTCAGTTCACTCCCCTTCCATACCTCTGATTCTATTATATTCAACAGTTACTATTGTTCATCAGATTTTTTTTTAATTTCCTTGGTTTTTAGATTCACTTGTTGATAGTTACGTATTTGTTGTTCATAATTTTTATCCTTATTTACTTTCTCTTCTGAAAGAACCTCCTTCAGCAATTCATATAATATATTTCTGGTTTGGTGGTGATGAACTCCTTTAGCTTTTTTTTTATTAGTGAAGCTCTATCTGATCTTCGATTCTGAGTAATAGCTTTGCTGGATAGATTATCTTTGGCTGTAGGTTCTTACTATTCATCACCTTGAATATTCCTTGCCATTCCCTTCTGGCCTGCATGGTTTCTGTTGAGAAGTCATCTGACAATCGTATAGGTGCTCCTTTATAGGTAACTACCTTCTTTGCTCTTGCTGCTTTTAATATTCTCTCTTTGTCTTTTGCTCTTGGAATTTTAATTATGATTTGTCTTGGTGTGGTCCTCTTTGGATTCCTTTTGTTTGGAGTTCTGTGCGCTTCCTGGACTTGTAAGTCTAATTCTTTCACCAGGTTGGGGAAGTTTTCTGTCTCTATTTCTTTCAGTATGTTTTTGATATCTTGCTTTCTCTCATCTTCTGGGACACCCATAATTCTGATGTTGGTTTGCTTGAAGTTGTCCCAGAGGTTTCTTACATTATCTTCAATTTTCTGGATTCTCTTGCCTTCTAGCTTCTGTGGAGGAGTGTCTTCTGGCTCTTTATGCTCCAAATCTTTGACTTGATTCTTGCGATCTTCCATTCTGTTTTTAGGACTCTGTATAATATTTTTTATTTCAAACAATGTATTCTTTATTTCTTGTTGATCCCTTATCATTTCTTGTTGACTCCTTATTAATTCTAGTTGATCTCTTTTCATATCTTCATAGGTCTTATCCATCTTTTCTAGGAAATTCTTGAAAAACCTTATAAGCGTAGATTTGATCTCTATATCCAGTCGCTTTTTGTCCTCCATTTCTTTTGTTTGTAATCTATTTCGTTGTCGCATTTCGCAGCTACAGATGGGGCGGGGTTTCAGGGTGGAGCCTGCAGCCTTGGCTTCCGTCAGCCCCGCCCTATGCGGGTCCTTCAGTACTCGCTGCAAAGTGCCTCTGAGAGAAAGGTGCCCTCAATTTTTGCCTGCTGCCAAACAGTCTATGCTCTCCCCCAATGAGCCTGTTATTGGGGTTCAGTTCAGTTGGAAGTGGAGCTGGAGGTGGCGTTCAGAGCAGACGGGAGCCCGTCTCCTTCCCGCCAGGCAATCCCACGGCACAGCCAGCCATCCCTTCTCTGCGCGCAAAGTGCGGGCTGCCGGGACCCCCTTTCACCACTTCCCCGGGGTTCCGCCTTGCAGCCCAGCTTCCTCTGTGTGAGGCTGGGTCCCCGGGGACTGGCCTAGGACTGGGGTTCAAAGCAGTCAGAATGGGGCCCAGCACAGTCAGAGTTCTATCTCCTTCCCGCTTGGGAACGCCAGAAAGACACTCAGCCTCCCTCCTCTCCGGCTCCGTCCTCTCCGCGCGCCACGCGTCACTGTATCTTGGGCTTTTCCAGCTCCTCCGCGCTTCCTTCTGGTTTTCTCCTTGCTTCTCATTGTAGAATTTCCAGTCAGTCGACTTTCCTGTAGTTCTGGATAATGTCCATTTTATATTTTAGTTGTATTTTATTGAAATTGTTGTGTGCGGCTGCAGCTAGGTGTTTACCTGGGCACAGCCATCTTGGATCTCTCTGCTTTGCATTTTAAAAAGTGACTTCACAACTACAATCTAATGTGATTCTCATAATGGTGTGAGGTAGCTGCTGTTATGAACTACACTTCTGTGGACCCTGAGAAAGAAGATACCTAC